AATAGCTCACGGCACTTTCTAACAGCCAGCTTCCAAAAACACCCAGATCAGATCAGCCCAGCATGTAACAAACAGAGAGCTAACAGTCATTCTGGTTCCCTCTTATGGCCGATTGAGGAAACAGCAAGCTATCACATTTTACAGTATGATTTAAAAAAACATATATAGCATTGTTATATGATTTATATATTGCCAACCCAACCGTTAGATTATATTCTTAACACAGTCCACTGCAGGGAATGGATGGGAGGGATTTTAATTTAAATGTAAAATAGATTCAGAGAAAACTTCAGCTCTCTTTAAATAGGAGCACTAAGAAACAGAAGCAGTATTGTCAAGATCAGTGAGCTGGATCTTGGCAAGATCAGGTGTGCCAGAGGTGGCATGCAAAGCCCTCTCTGTGGGCATATGCACCGTCTTCAACGCTTCTGGTTTTATGAGCACAGGCCATCTGATCTTTGTGGGCACTGGAGTGCCTGAAAATGACCTGAAAAATGGTCTGTTTTGGGGCATTTGGGGGGGCATCTTCAGGGTGTTTTTGGTGCAAAAAACGGCCTGAAAAATGGGCCCAAAACAGCTAAAAAACAGGCAGTGCCAGCCACTGCTTTTTGCGTGCTGAAAAGGTTCGCCATCACTGGGCTTATATAGTCAACCCGAAAGCCTACAGCTTGGTCCACCCTATTTTCATTTCTGCTGTCGTTACAGGTAAAAGTAAAAACTGTAATTCCGTCTCTGTTGGAGCCTTCCTCGATGATGACGACATGAGTTTGGAAGAAGTCAAAAACAGGCAAAACGCGGCCAGGAATTACAGCCCCGTCATAGCCCCCAACGAACTGCCCACCATCGGTACCTTCGGGAGCTCCAAGTGCGACATACTCGCCATCGAACAGACGGGGACCATCATGCCAAGGACCAAAACCTCCATCCGGCCGGCCGAAAAAGGAGACCCCCTCAGTAAAAACGGATACTGCAGTCCGGCCACTAGCGAGGATAGGACAGGAAACCACAGGAGGCATCCCAGCCAGGAGGAAAACTTTCAGTCCCCTGTGGGCAACTTAATGGATAAGTTTGATCAGCTCTCTTGCCAGGATCCGGCCGTGGCGAGGGAATGCCCGTCAGGCAAGAAAACGTCAAAAACGTGGAAATGCCAGGGGGCAGCTGCCAGGAAGAGCAAGGAGGTCAAAAGCAGAAAGGAAGACGGGGACCCCCAAGAGGCACTGAGACCCTCGGCGGAAACCGAGGTCAGGTCCGGGGAGAGAAAGCCGCCGGGCGCTTTGGAATCGCAACCCGAGACATCCGTTCCTGGTTTGCTAAAGACGCCTTCCTCAAACGGGAAAACCAAGCAGATGTTCCTTTTAGGGTACGAAAGGGGTTTGGGTGCACAGAAAGGGGGTTTCTTCGTGGACTCCACAGAAGGAAATGTATTTTAAGGACTGCTAACTTGGAATGTTCTTTAAATACAATATGGGTGGCCCGTGGTGGCGCTAGTGGTAAGAATGCAGTACGTGCAGGCTAATTCTGCTAACAGCAGTTCAGGAGTTTGAAGGTTCAAGGCTCAAGGTTGACTCAGCCTTCCATCTGTCCTAATTGTATCAAACATTCTTCCTTCTTTTCNAAGCTGGGATTTCAACAGTCGGTCCACAGCAGTGATAATACACGGAAACAAAAGAGTTGCGATGGAAAGGGGGGGTGCGTTTGGGTCGGCAGCGGTAATGGCAAAAGCCTGACCCTCAGACCCACAGCACCCCAGCATCAAACTCACCAACCCCCTTGGAAGGCAGCACACCCAACGGCTCAGCAGCACCTTGTAAACCAAAATAGGGCCATGGCAATCCGGATCCAAGGCTGAAAACTGCGTCCACGGTGGAGGGGGGGCGCCCCGCTCAATGGCCCAACGGCACCACGCAGACAAAGACAGGGCCGTGGCGATCCGAATGCGGCGCTGGAACTGCCGCCAGCTGGAGACCACCGTCCACAGGAGGAGAGGGGGAGACTGCACGTCCCAACGGCTCAGCAGCGTCTCGCAAGAACAAAGGCAAGCCGCGGCGATCCATCAGCTGGAAACCGCCGCCCGTGCCGTCCGTGGGGGGGAAGGCCGCCCGCAAGCCGCTCAGCACCGCTCAACACCGCTGCGCCGCCCAGAGCCGTCCGAGCAGTATTTCTCCAGGTACTCGTTCTTCCAGCACCCTCTCGATATCCTCTTGCCCAGACTTCGCCCTTCAGTAGTCTGGCTACAGCAGAGACTCGATTTTTTTTCAAGATTCGTCTCTCTTCAAGCCCGAGAGAGAAGCTCAGGCAGCCATCTTACTCGTACATGGGGCATGTTTAGCATTTCAAAATCATCTTTGTGTCTTTAGCAATAAGATGTATGTCTGTGTGTGTGTGTGTGTGCGCGTGCGTATGCATGTTCATTACATAAATAAATGTTACCCTCCAAATACATCTAGCAAAGCATTTCTTGGTTGTGTTACGAGGCACTTCCTTGCTCACCTATTCTTGGCAGCAAGTGATGTAGTATGAGTGAAGAAAATCTTGATTCTATTCACAGAGGTACAATTTGTTTGATATTATTTTGTGAAGGGCATGTGCATTTTTCTTTTGAGCAATCACAAGGGGAGATTGAAAGATGGCACTTTGCTGAGGTTTGGTTCACCATTTGTCAACCATTGTTGCACAATGGATGAATGGAATAGCATGAGGGAGTGTTGTTCAACCTTGGCAACTTTAAAATGTGTAGACTGACCCTACAGAGAGTGGTGAGGACAGTGGAGAAGATCATAGGAAGCTTGCTTCCTGTTATTCAGATTACTACTTATAAACACTTAAAGCTCGAAGCCTTGTTAGAGACCCCACACAACCACTTCACGTTGCTGTTTCTGTTGCTCCCCACTGGGAGGAGGTTTTGAAGTATTTGTAGCAGAACTACCAGATTCTGTAATGGCTTTGTTCCTTATGCCATATGTCTTGTAAACTCCCAAAATTCATTTCTCTTGCCATGTACATGCATATATTCAGACTAGATTTTGTTGTTTCTCTGTGTCAGATAAGATATGTGAGTATATGAATAATTTTGTATTTATTTATTTTGTCATGTTCGTACGTGGTTATGTATGAATATGGATGAACATGGATGAACATACGCTTTGGAGGTAGTGACCCTTTGAGAGCTGTATGGAAGGAAATTTCATTTTAATACATGCCAATTAGTATACATTCAAAGTCAGTAAAGTTATTCTATTCTATTCTATTCCTGATTCTATTCTATTCTACTCTACTCTACTCACCTACAACTCCCAGAATTCCCTAACCAACATAGTCAAGAACATTCTTGGTTTTTATATACAGGTAGTCCTTAACTTACAACAGTTCATTTAGTGACAACTTACAGTTAAAACAGCACTGAAAAAATTGACTTATGACCATTTTATACACTTATGGCCATCTATAGAGATTCTCAGCCATTCAATTGTCCCAAAGTTGCTTTTTTCAAGAGGAAACTGGACTTTCTGTTTTTTCTTTGAAGACGTTTCACTTCTCATCCACGAAGCTTCTTCAGCACTAACTGGATGGTGGGGAATTGAAGGATTTAGCTGCGGTGTCGCAGTGGTTAGGGTGCAGTACTGCAGGCTACTTCTGCTGACTGCCAGCTGCCTGCAATTTGGCAATTTGAATCTCACCAGGCTCAAGGTTGACTCAGCCTTCCATCCTTCCCACGTGGGTAAAGAGAGGACTCAGATTGTTGAGGGTGAAAGGCTGACTGTAAACTGTTTAGAGAGGGTTGTAAAGCACTGTGAAGCAATATATAAGTGATATTGCTATTTATACTCCTTGCAGACAGCTGGTCATTTACATTCTTTAGAGAGTTGTAGAGCACTTGGAGGTTTATCTGCATTCTTAGGGTCACCTGAGTAGTGCAAAGAGGTGTGAAGCCTTCTTGCTGAAAGGACTGTGTTGTAGACTGGAGATAGATGATGTCGTATTCCCCTTGGCTGTTCCTGCTATGGAGTTCCCTTAAATTATACTGATTAAAATTATCTTAGTTTTCTGGTAGATACTGGGCTCTAACCCAATCCATTTGGATGTTTCAAAATGATTCAGAAAAAAAAATCTTTGGGCAAGACTGAAAAGAACAATTAAGAAGTGAAAGCATGATGTTGTACCTTTTTATTAACATAAAAAACAATTTTATGCTGGACTTTCCTACCTTGGTACTCAAATTTTGAAACCACCCCATAAAAACACAAACCAGGTTAAAACTCATATAAAACCCATTCACAAAATAACGTTTGTGTTATTTTACTGCTGCAAAGAGATTCCCAGTCATGAAGCAGGACTTTTGGTATCCTCTTTTCTGTTGCTTTCTAAGCATCCAGTGAAAATTAGGTGATCCTTAAAAGTTGAGATTAGTTCTTAGTGAATTTCTGCAGAAAATGGTTAGAAACCCACATGCAAATATTCACCCTTGTATGCGCATAATGCTTTCCTGGCTAGCACCTTTTAATCCAGCCTGTTTTGTAAAATAATTACCAAATAAGCATTGTGATATGTATCCCTGACTTCCCACAGGCTGTGATAGGTGTGAAAGTCAATGAGATCATCATTTATTTGCCAAAATAATAATACACACACCGCTAAAATCACACAGGCAGAAAAAAAAATCCCTATTAATCCCAATACTTCTAGCAGACAGCAATTTGAGAAAGACTGATATAGATACAGAACACATTCCTGGACATAGAATACAGGTACTCCTTGACTTGTGACCACAATTGAGTCCAACATTTCTGCTGCTAATTGAGACACTGATTAAGGGAATTTTGTCCCATATTATGACCTTTCTTTACAGATGTTGTGCAGTGAATCTCTGCAGTTGCTAAATGAGTAACATGGTTGTTAAGTGAATCTGAGTCCTCCATTGACTTGTCAAATGGTTGCAAAAGGGGATCACGACCACCCCAGGACACTGCAACCATCACAAATATGAGTCAGGTGCCAAATATCTGAAATTCTGAGGACATTATTGTCGGGATGCTGCAACGGTCTTCAGTGTGACAGTTGGTCATACGTCACTTTTTTCAGTGCTGTTGCAACTTTGGTCGCTGAAAGAATTGTTGTACATTGAGAACTACCTGTAATAAATGTGTCAACCCTGAATGGAACCTGGCTGAGGCCATCTTGAAGGCTTCAGAGTTGTCACAAAGCAGAAAAGGATTTAGGGAGGGGGGGAAATAGTTAGATGGGGTTTTGTAGCCAAAACAATAAAGTTGTCCTGTTGGAACCAAGGACATTCTCTCAGGTGGCTGGCCAGAGAAGGAGTGAAGTAACCAAGCAACAGGCTAGCACCTTGATTGGGCAGCATGACCAGTGACTTGAAGGAAAGAGGAAACTTTTACTTTTTAGTTAGGCAAGAGCTGTGGGGACGTTCAGAGTTGGCTTTCACCAGTTGTGCCAATATGATGCATCCAATGAAATTGTTCTTTGAGGAATGTGCCTGCCTCGGAGTTCTGCTTTCTATGGTTACATTACTTGGAATGCTGACATATTGAACTAGTCTAGTCTTACTTATTTATTTATTAAACTTGTATGTCACACATCTTACTCTGCAAAGTTTTTCTGGGCAAATTGCAAAACCTTTCAAGCAGACATACAGTATCTGAGTAGTAATTCAAAGGCAGCACCATGGGAGAAGTTTGACAGATCCCACATCTCAAGACATGAACCAACGGGAGATCCCAATCTAGACGCAACTGATTTCACTTTGCTTTTGGCGATGCTGTGATTCTTTGCAGGCTGTTCGTTTCTTCCACCATTGTTGTTAAGCACCTTTCCCCCAAAAAACTGCACTGTGGTTTTGGAAGGGAACAGAAAAGTCTCAGTGCAAAATAGATTCCGATCGCTTGATTAACTTTCTCTCCTCTGTCTCTCGAATTCTTTTAGCAGACGGACGATGCAGCACAGACTGATGGTCAGCAACAGACACAATCTTCTGAAAACACAGAGAACAAATCACAGCCCAAACGGCTGCATGTTTCAAATATTCCCTTCAGATTTCGGGACCCAGACCTCAGACAAATGTTTGGGGTAAGCAATGGTTTCCTTACAACACTCTTCTTACTCTTGCTTTTATTCCTTATTTAAGTTCAGTATGTATGTATGTATGTATGTATGTATGTATGTATGTATGTATGTATGTATGT